ACCTATCTGTTCTGTGATGATACTATATGTCCAGGGACGTCGAGAAAATTTCCAACCCGAAAGATTCCCTCAACCGGACCGGGAATCGAACCGGGAATCGAACCCGCCGCCTCCGGTTTGGTAATACCGTGCCTTTACTGACTAGGCTATGAGGCCCCCGCCTTCCTAGTGTTTGTGAATTTTCCTGGGTCATGAACCCTATATTCATGGAAACAACAGAATTAATCATTAATTAGGAAGTTGTAAACGTTTACGCTGAAAGAGACATAACGATGATTGGAAATGGCAATAAGACAACTGACACCACCTTCAATCGGAAGTTGTACAGACTGAACCCTTAACACTAGACAACGGACAAACACAACACCCAGTAGACCAGTATGGAAATTTCCTGGTTGCGAAAAGTTCCATCGGCTGAATCGGCAATCGAACCCTCACCCTGAACGACGGGTGATACCGCTAACCGCTCAACAACGAAGCCCACAAATGGCAATGGTAGCATAAGTCGAAACAAGGATAATTTCCAAAACCTAGTTGTAAATGTAAATCTTCAAGATCTTCCCAACATGAAGAAAAGATCAATTGTGATAAATATTTCTAAAACTTGACGTTGAAATCAGATTACATTTTAAATACAGACTACTCTCCTTTACCCTCGGAGGGTACCGTAACTCGGAACCCTTTTCTAACTCGTTTTCGCTCTATCTCTCTCTTTCTCTACCATTCTCTTTTTTTCTCATTCTCATATTTACTAACGCTGCATACAGCACTGCAAGCCCAACATTAGGGACGGCTCGGCCGCAGACCTCCGAAGAGACATCATCAAGCTAACACGAGGGCGGCAAAATTTCGTCATCGCTGGCGACCTGAACGCCAAGCATCAAGCCTGGGGCAATAGTCGGCGAAACCAGAACGGCACAATCTTATACAACGATCTGCAGGAAGCCCACTACAACATTCTGTGTCCGGACACTCCCACCCGGTTGAGTCGATCCGGAGCTCATGCCACCATCGGCATCTTCATCAGCAACATTGGCGATAACATCTCTCAACCTATCGCCTATCAGGAACTGAGCTCGGACCACTATCCGGTGGTGGCCGAAGTAGGTTCCTCGGCCAATAGTTTTCAAGTTTCCCGGAAAAATTACAATCGTGTCAACTGGCAGCAGTATCAGCGCTATGTGGACACAGCAATCGATTACGACGTCCTACCGGAGTCGTTCGAAGAAGTCGATCAGTGTCTGCAAACCATTGAAGAGGCGATATCCCGTGCCAGGGATCAACACGTACCAGCATCCAGACAGGTGAGTCATACTCTGAACCTTGACAGCCCAACCAAAGATCTTATCAGGCTCCGTAACACCATTTGCAGGCAGTTCCAACGTTCTGGGCTGCCCCACTTGAAGAACAATGTCAATAGGGTAACCAAAATTATCCAGGCCAAGATGGTGGAAATCAGAAATAACGATTTTGCAACAAGATTTGCTCTCTCCCAGATTGTGCAAAACCATTTTGGAAGATGACCAAAATTTTGAAAAATAAGTCGAGACCGATCCCTCTGCTTTCCTTTGTTGACCAGAACTTGGACCCATCCCTACTCATAATCCCAGTTGAAAAGGCCAATGATCTTGGCCAACATTTTGTGATTTCACATAATCTTGGCCAAACCATGGTGAGCCCCCATGATCCTGCCGTACTGGAGGCATTGTCTAGAGTCGCTGACACCCCACACCACAGTGCATGATGATAGTAGAATATCGGCGGATGAGGTGATAGCAGCTGTTAGAAGCATGAAGGCCGCGGGTATGGATGGTGTAGTCAACCTCGAGTTGAATTTTTTTCAAATCTTACCGGATTAGAACACTCGATTGAGAATTTGTGGTGTAACTTGCACAATGAAGTGGACAAAGCATTGGTCTCCAACAAAAACGCCTATTTTGAAGCCCTCGAAACAGCGTGGGAGAATATCGATTCAGGATATCTACAAAAGCTCGTTGAAAGTATGTCACGTCGATTGGAAGCTGTGTTGAAAGCAAAGGGTGATCATACCAAATACTGAGAGTTTGAAGATTGAAGTTGAAACTTGAAATAAACATCTCGAAATTCTCCCTCTATGGTTAATACGTGAATATTGAGAAAGTCATGCAGAATTTTGATGTACTTTTGCTATTATGGATTTTCGTTGATTAGATGTGTGCCAAGTTGTGATTTGTTCCGGTGGTATTTGCCGCTGTTTGTTTGTATTTCGGTAGTTAATTAAGCTCATAATTTAATATATACAACATAGGACCTAAAAACCAAGCATAGAAGTGTTGACAGTGAGAGTAGAAGTATTTGTTTGGAGGAAAACTGAATGTAAGTCGTTTGTTATTAGTGATAAGTGATAAAAGCATACTTTGGAAATCGTTTTCTTCGCTCGATCCGAACGGCGTCGAGCAGCAAGTACCTATAATTTTCATTCACACATTCATCACCTTACGATCGATTTCCGCTATTCACCAAAGTCGATCGCAAGCGTCAAGCTTCACCAACTTTCGCTGCAACTTAGTCACCCTCCAACTTAGTATGTCCAACTTACACAACCTACTGACGACCACCAAACGATGTGACTCGTTAAAACCAAACAATCACCTCAACTGTCATCGCCTCCGCCGTCGTCCAACTGACCAACATATTCGACGATCGCTGCATTTTGCACTAATGACCATTCCACGGTCTGCGGGAGATTACACAATGTTCAGCTCCTTTCTCCCCAAAACCGCCCGAAAAGGTGCCAATATTCCACCGATTAATCACCGATGAACAGCAGTCCACTACATATGTACACCGACCGTGTTGTGACCGAACATTATTCATTGCTGTCGGTTCCGATTCCACGGCACTGCTGCGTGCCGCCACCAAAGCCCGGAGGGAAAGGAAGTTAATGTCCCATGAACTTCAGCTGAGCAGCGGCACCAACAGCGCCAACCGAAGAAAGTACCTACCCGCGGATATTGCATAAGGTCGTCTGTCGTCCTCAGTTGGTCTCGGTCAATTTGTATGGTTTCTAATAATAACTGCGCCTTTATTCGGGAGCGACCGGCGCACAGTGGGACGAAATAAAAAAAAAAGTGGGACATGGCCCTTGAGTGTGGCATTTTGATGTCTGGTTGAAGTGTTTCTACATTTTTTGAGTGGTGATTTTTTTTTCTTAAGCCCCATTTACACTCTGATATAAAAAATAGCTTTTTTTATGTCTTGTTAAAATCGATGAACATCTCTATGGAAACATTGTAGATGACATCATTTTAAGAAATTTTGTCCAAGACGACAATTTTCTATCTCGCAAGTGAACGAAGTTATAGGGTGAAAATGGCGTACAAACGATAGTACCCCCTTAAAAAGCGTTTTTATATCATAACTTTTTTGTTTGAGTTTTTCAATTTTTCCTATGTTCTACAAAGTTGTAAGTACTCTAAAAATGCACATTTTTGCTAAAGGAAGTAAATCGCTATTTCTTCGTTTAAAGGATTTACGATCGTTTTATAGTTTTTTGATACTAACTATAAGGGGGTGTATCTTGCAGGTTAGCAGGTATTAGCAGCTAATCTCAACGTAATTTTGTTCAGCAACTTATACCCTACTGTTACATATACAGTTTATAGAGGGATGCAAGGGATACGTATTGCTGCTTTCATGATTATTTTTCCAAGTATGTACATTAGGATGGATTGCAGGTTCGACAAAGTTATTTGGTATAGTGTTCTCAATCTAAGTCTACATTTGAGCAATATTTGTAATGTAAATACCTGTAGAAATGGTCATGAAAACAGCAAAACTATGAACTGTATATGTAACAGTAGGGTATAAGTTGTTGAACAAAATTACGTTCAGATTAGCTGCTAATACCTGCTAACCTGCAAGATACACCCCCTTACAGATAGTATCAAAAAACTATAAAACGATCGTAAATCCGATTTACTTACTTAAGCAAAAATGCGCATTTTCAAAGTACTTACAACTGTGTAGAACATAGAAAAAAATGAAAAACTCAAAAAAAAAAAGTTATAATACAAAAACACTTATTAAGGGGGTACTACCGCTTGAACTCCATTTTCACCCTATAACTTCGTCCAGTTGAAAGATGGAAAATTGTCGTCTTGGATAAGGTTTCTTGAAATTACTTCAACTACAATGTTTCCATAGATTTCCACAAATTTCTACAAGACACAAAAAAGCTTATTTTTTGTTATCGGAGTGAGTGTATTTTCACCACTCAAATGAAGAAACATTCTACCAGACATCAAAATGCTACACTCAATAGTTACATCGCAAATTGCCATGTCCCACTTTTTTTTTATTTCGTCCCACTGTGCGCGGTGGGAGGAGAAAATTGGCCGACGCCTATGCTTTGTCGGGTGTAATTTTTTGGCGCTCGGAAGACAAAAGCGAAATGTAAAAATGGAGGGCCGATGGGAGCTCAATGCTAGTGAGGTGTGAGGTTATGTAATAGTAGGATTTTTCTGTGCCACTTTTGAAGGCGGAACCGGCGCGGAAATGCGGAACAAAAGTGTCATAATGCGGCATAATGCGATAACCATGGATAACCATGGAGAAAAACGTAGAATTTTAATGTTTGATTGGACATCTTATGGTTATTGTATAGTTACCCCTTCTTAGTCCGACAAAATTGTAAATATTTTTAATCCGATGCTGTGATGATGAAAACATAAACAACTAAATTGCTAAGGAAAACTTCGTTGATACAGTTGATTAACAGCCTACTGGGTATAAGTTTTCTCAATAACGACTAAAAAGATGCCAGATGATACTGTATATGGTAATATTATAGTTGAATCACAATCTCAAAATGTGTCAGTCTGTTGTTTCAGGAATTCAAAAGGAACCTTTAGGGAACCACAACAAATCATACAATTTATGGTTATCGAATGATATTTTTATGGTAACCGTACATTTAACTCGCATTTTTGCTAGAATACAAACGTCAACATCAAATTTACCTTGGAAGGCCTCCGCCACCGTCCCATTGCTGCCATATTCGGCCGATCGGAACTGTTCTGCTGTTCCTGATACTACCAATGCTTCGTACAATTTCACCGTCATGACGACGAGGGCGAAGAGAAGCTTTCAGGTAGAGATAGAAAATCGGCACGTGTTGATCCGGGCGGGAGCACGTTTCCCGCGTGATGACAGCGGAATTTTTTTTGTAGATAAACACTAATAGATTTGCGGCTGCTGCTGTTGCTGATGATGGCGATTGCAATGACAACTGGTAAACATGGTAATCAGTCTATGTCCGACGAACGTAAAAATGGTACTCACACTGGCACGGATATTGCCAGCCGGCAGCAAGAATTGGCAATCGGGCACGTAGTTTGGAATTTTAATTAAAATTTACACGAGCTGCTGCAGTCGCGCACTGACTGACATTCTGCTGGATAGCACGAGAGGGCAATGATTTAGGAGTATTCTGTGTCTGTCGGTGACCGTGAGGATGGGAAAGTGATTTGAACGCACGCGAGGACGGGTTGCAGTCGTAAAATCGGTCACTTGATTTGTCAGGGGGAATACAATCGAACGTAAAATGTTAATTTGAATTGCTGGATAAGATGGAAACTTTGTTATAAATACTATATAGCTAAACTTAATAAGAGCTAGCTAACAGTTGGCTAGATTATTTATGTAGCTACGAGAATTAATTGATTCGATATCAATATTAAAACCAACTTCTAGGTCCTATACATATTTTCAAGATCCTGAATGTTCCTAGTACATCTAGTACTTTCAAGGGGTTGTCCAGAAGATTTCAAGAGCTAGTACGGACTACTTTCAAATCAAGTCCAGCATTATTCTGCACTCATCATCACTCATCACTCATCAAAGTGTTTTGTTACTTCATACGTGAAGTTTACGATTTTCAGTGTTGGAAGGAAATGCTACACTAATATTAACATGATGCTTTTAGCACAGACAAACTGACGTAACTCCTTGAAAAAGTTTTTCTTGAAAACATAGTATCTCAAAACATAGGACCTCAGTAACGACATCGCTCTGGCTTCTCGCGGAAATAAGCTTGCTCGCTAACTCGCAAACAATATTCCTTAAACTTCTATAGAATGTATAGAAACGTCAAAGTTATCCGATGCCAGCGCTGCGGCGAGTAGTTCGCGGAACTGATAATATTCAAATCAACCGTTAAATGCGCGAACGAAGATACTCAATGAAGAGTTACGTCTGTTTGTCTGTGCGACAATTTATTAGTTAGAGAAAGTTCTGAAGAGGATAGGTTGAAAGTTCCGCTAGAGTAAGGCAGTGTTAAAATTGAACAGAAGTTGAAATTGAGCGAAGGGCCATTAATGCGACAATACTAATCAAATGCGCACTCCTTTACCTAATTCATTCTTTGATCTATGAGGGGATTTGCGGTATGTCCTCAAATCCACAGGCAAAAGAGTGCGCGTTTGACTTGCTCAAATACTGTCTGCGGATGTGGAATAGTTCTAGCAACGTTTGTCACTACCTAAAGCCCACGTTGCGAAGAACAAAACACGTTGATTGAATGTAACAACTCAAATTGGGAGCAGCCGACAACAATGCTGATGATGGTACAGCACGCAACACCACCCTTCTGCTTCTCTCTGAGGTGACTTGAGAAGTTGGGTAAATAAGAGTTGCATTATAATAAACCAACGCCTGGAAATGCTTTCGGTAACGTGGAGCTCTAGGTATTTATAAATGTCGCTAGATCTATTCCACAGGCACAGCCAGTATATGAGCAAGTCAAATGCACACTCTGTTGCCTGTGGATTTGAGGACATACCTCAAATCCTCTCATCCATCAACGTATGAGTAAGGTAAAAGAGCGCACATTTGATTAGTATTGTGGCATTAATGGCCCTTCGCTCAATTCAATTTTAAAACTGCCGTACTCTAGCGGAACTATCAACCTATCCTTTTCAGAAATTTCTCTAGCTAATACATTATCGCACTAAAAGCTTCACGTTGATATTAGTATAGCATTTCCTCCCAACTCGGTAAAAAATGATCATCTTCCCCCCGTTTCGCTCAGCTGTCAATTTTCGCTGAATTCTACCATTAACGTAGAGCACTAAGCTATCGTCGCCGAATCCAATCGATTCGTAAAATTTAATGAAAATAACGACAAATACGCAATACATTTCCCAAATGAAGGAAAATATTGTTCATCTTGCATCAAATTTGTAAATGGAAGTATGAGTTTGGACGAAATGATCAGCTTTGAACAGATTTTTAAAATAAACGGTTTGTTAAAACTTGTGCCATTATCAACTTTGTGAAATTCAGAAGCTATTGAAATCATACTAACAAGATTATTTTCCTGGTAGATTTTTTCAAATTCCCGACCCCGTTTCGCTTGAAAGGATCCGAAAGTTATTCAACGTATCCTCAAATATCCCGTACAGAGTTTTGAACCGCCTAACGTTGCTTTGCGAGCCCTCTGAGTACACTCTGATAGTCTACTAAACTAAACCAGAGCCAGATCATGTCTTGAATTCCACTAGAAATTGTCTAAACAAGACATTTTCATCCAGAATCCTGGAAGTCTAGTAGACATGCTCTAGAATACCTCTGAACGTGGACATCCAGTTCTGTGAACTTACCCTTGAAGCGCTATGGTCTTGCCCTAGGTGCCCTCTAAATATGCTCTAAAAGTTCTCTCTGAACACGCTTATAGCTGGTTCTGTGAATTAACCTGTGGGAATTGAACCCCAGTTCCTCTTCAGGACATGTCCTTGTTGTTTTTGTCCTGTAATGCCTTAAGCGATACTGCTTGGATATAGTTTGATTTTGACATACAAGACCTTTAGAAGCACGGTGGCAGATCAGGCCCTGAAGATCGATTAAATTTTGATTGGCTCTAAATGGGTTCTATCATTAAAGCCCCTACTGATTATGACTGGTTGAATTCTGGGATTGTCCTGGAAGTCTTCTTCACATGCTTGAAAACTCCCTTAACATACTCAAACAATCTCTAGCTAGAGCCTAGATTGCCTTAATATTGTCTTGAATGTTCTAGTATTTGGACATGTTCAAGAAGTCCTCAGATCGTGCCTTGAAACCGTGCCTTGAGATCTTCTCGAATTGCCTTGAATGTGCTCAAAAATTGTCCTAGAAGACTTGAAATTTTGAAATAGAATTAATGGAGATCCGAGACATTTTTTTTTAATTTGGTTGATTGAAGAATCGTTAAAAGAGCGGCGCCGGTGGAGTTGTGGTAAGCGTGATTGCCTCTCACTCCAGCAGGCCTGGGTTCAATCCCAGTCGGCGCCGCCGGGATGTTCTGAGGCATAACATCTCTGATTACGCCTTCCTTCGGAAGTGATGTAAAGCCGTTGGTCCCTGGTTCATGAGTTGATGGGTCGATAGGTAGGGTCCAGATGTGGGAGCTGCCTCCCTGGCGTCGGTAGCAGAGCCAGATCATGTCTTGAATTCCACTAGAAATTGTCTAAACAAGACATTTTCATCCAGAATCCTGGAAGTCTAGTAGACATGCTCTAGAATACCTCTGAACGTGGACATCCAGTTCTGTGAACTTACCTTTGAAGCGCTATGGTCTTGCCCTAGGTGCCCTCTAAATATGCTCTAAAAGTTCTCTCTGAACACGCTTATAGGTGGTTCTGTGAATTAACCTGTGGGAATTGAACCCCAGTTCCTCTTCAGGACATGTCCTTGTTGTTTTTGTCCTGTAATGCCTTAAGCGATACTGCTTGGATATAGTTTGATTTTGACATACAAGACCTTTAGAAGCACGGTGGCAGATCAGGCCCTGAAGATCGATTAAATTTTGATTGGCTCTAAATGGGTTCTATCATTAAAGCCCCTACTGATTATGACTGGTTGAATTCTGGGATTGTCCTGGAAGTCTTCTTCACATGCTTGAAAACTCCCTTAACATACTCAAACAATCTCTAGCTAGAGCCTAGATTGCCTTAATATTGTCTTGAATGTTCTAGTATTTGGACATGTTCAAGAAGTCCTCAGATCGTGCCTTGAAACCGTGCCTTGAGATCTTCTCGAATTGCCTTGAATGTGCTCAAAAATTGTCCTAGAAGACTTGAAATTTTGAAATAGAATTAATGGAGATCCGAGACATTTTTTTTTAATTTGGTTGATTGAAGAATCGTTAAAAGAGCGGCGCCGGTGGAGTTGTGGTAAGCGTGATTGCCTCTCACTCCAGCAGGCCTGGGTTCAATCCCAGTCGGCGCCGCCGGGATGTTCTGAGGCATAACATCTCTGATTACGCCTTCCTTCGGAAGTGATGTAAAGCCGTTGGTCCCTGGTTCATGAGTTGATGGGTCGATAGGTAGGGTCCAGATGTGGGAGCTGCCTCCCTGGCGTCGGTAGCAGAGCCAGATCATGTCTTGAATTCCACTAGAAATTGTCTAAACAAGACATTTTCATCCAGAATCCTGGAAGTCTAGTAGACATGCTCTAGAATACCTCTGAACGTGGACATCCAGTTCTGTGAACTTACCCTTGAAGCGCTATGGTCTTGCCCTAGGTGCCCTCTAAATATGCTCTAAAAGTTCTCTCTGAACACGCTTATAGCTGGTTCTGTGAATTAACCTGTGGGAATTGAACCCCAGTTCCTCTTCAGGACATGTCCTTGTTGTTTTTGTCCTGTAATGCCTTAAGCGATACTGCTTGGATATAGTTTGATTTTGACATACAAGACCTTTAGAAGCACGGTGGCAGATCAGGCCCTGAAGATCGATTAAATTTTGATTGGCTCTAAATGGGTTCTATCATTAAAGCCCCTACTGATTATGACTGGTTGAATTCTGGGATTGTCCTGGAAGTCTTCTTCACATGCTTGAAAACTCCCTTAACATACTCAAACAATCTCTAGCTAGAGCCTAGATTGCCTTAATATTGTCTTGAATGTTCTAGTATTTGGACATGTTCAAGAAGTCCTCAGATCGTGCCTTGAAACCGTGCCTTGAGATCTTCTCGAATTGCCTTGAATGTGCTCAAAAATTGTCCTAGAAGACTTGAAATTTTGAAATAGAATTAATGGAGATCCGAGACATTTTTTTTTAATTTGGTTGATTGAAGAATCGTTAAAAGAGCGGCGCCGGTGGAGTTGTGGTAAGCGTGATTGCCTCTCACTCCAGCAGGCCTGGGTTCAATCCCAGTCGGCGCCGCCGGGATGTTCTGAGGCATAACATCTCTGATTACGCCTTCCTTCGGAAGTGATGTAAAGCCGTTGGTCCCTGGTTCATGAGTTGATGGGTCGATAGGTAGGGTCCAGATGTGGGAGCTGCCTCCCTGGCGTCGGTAGCAGAGCCAGATCATGTCTTGAATTCCACTAGAAATTGTCTAAACAAGACATTTTCATCCAGAATCCTGGAAGTCTAGTAGACATGCTCTAGAATAC